CCTTCCTGGTGGGACAGAGGCTTGGAGAAGTCAGATTCTATCAACGTGATTTCACCCTGCACGGGGAGCACCGGCATCCCGGCCGAGGGAGCTCGACCTCCTCTGGTGTCTGCAGAGCAGACGGTCTCCCGCTTGCCGTGACGGCCTGAGCAACTTGGCCCCCATACCGACATTACGGGCTGGAACTGTGGTCTCCGAGTTGGTGCTTTGCCCATGAAGTCACTCACTTCATTACCTGGAGCGGAGACTAGGCCTAACGGTTCAACTGCTGCCCTTCCTGGAGCCCTACCTCCTGTTACCTGGCGCCGCCGGTGCTAGGATGCTCTCTAGGACATCCCGCATTTATTTTTTGTTAATTTTTTAAAATAAACTTTATTGAAGTGTAGTTGGTTTACATTGTTGTGTTCATTTCTGCTGTACAGCAGTGACTCAGTTATACATATATACATTCTTTTTCACATTCTTTTCCATTATAGTCTATCACAGGATATTCAATATAGTTCCCTGGGCTGTACAGTAGGACTTCGTGCTTTATCCATCCTATATATAATAGTTTGCATCTGCTAACCCCAAACTCCCAATCCATCCCTCCCCCATCCAACCTCCCCCTTGGCAACCACAAGTCTGTTCTCTATGTAGGACACCCTGCATTCATTCGGTCACCAGATGCTACCAAGTCTGTCTCCAAATGGTGTCCTGAGTCCCTCCCTCTCGTTATCCCCACTGTCACTATTCACCTCACCCTTTCTGACTGGCCTGCAATACAGTGGCCTCCTCCACAGCCCCTGGGCTCTCTTCTCTTCCCAAGTTGTCTTAAGGGACCCCACTGCCTGCCTGAAACTCTACTGCTTAAACAGCCATGGAAGTTCCTTACTTCCCACTGAATACGGTTGAACCTCCTAATACTATGATGTGCAAATCCCTTCAGCGTTTGGTTGCTACCACAGCTCTCAGCCTTGCTTTCCTCTCCCTCAGAGCCTTCTTTCTGGGCATGTCTCAAACATGACAGGCCCTTCTCAGGACTCCATGGTCAAGTCTCAGAGGCGGAAAAACAAAGACAAACAAGCAAACGCACGAAAGCGCTCTCACATTGTTCCAATAAAGGGGAAGGAGGACGTTACAGAGAGAGAGCTCTCAGAAGTGAAATTTGGTTGGGCTGGGCATGTCACCTGTTCCAGTCCTCACTTTCTGTATCCTTTTAGCTCAGATGGTGTGTTTCTTGAAAAGTCTGGATTCTCAAGGCAGCCTGGTTGGTTGCTTCCCCATCAGTGATTGACTCATTTTGGGTAAAGTGACTACCTCTGACCAATCAGTCATGGTAGGGAGGGGGCAATGTCATACAGTATAAAGGGGCTCTGCCAAGGGCTGAGATCTGGCAGGTTCTCTGGGGAGCCTGTGAAAATGCAGAAACCGACTCAGTGGCTCTGCCATGGGGGCCAGTGATTCTGCATTTCTCACAGGCTCGCAGGTGACACTGGTGCTTCTGGTCCATGGACCACACTTTGAACAGTGAGACTCTACAATAGGATGTAGTCAGGAGAGGCAATAAACAGTATTCAGTACATCCTTCTTATTCTAGAATGTTCTCCATTCTTTGTTGGCAGGAAAAATTTTGCTCACTGTTTAAGGTGCGGTTCAAATGTAAGGTCCACAGGAATGTTGGGTTCTCCTAGAGTTAATCTCATAAGTCCTTTCTGGAATCCCACGTGTCATTTGCCTAATAGTTACTTGTGTATATTTGTCACGTTCGTTTTTGCTTATTCTACTTTTTTAATGTACGTACAGTAAAATCCACTCACAGTCTGTGAGTTTTAACAAGGTGGTACAGTTGTGTAGCTACCACCACAATTGATTCAGATTCACAGTAGTTCCATCCCCCAGAAGGTTCTCTCCTGCTGCCCTTTGGAGTCACCCCTCCCCATTGACCCCAGCCCCTGGCCACCACTGACCTGTTTCTGTTCTACAATTTTGCCTTTTTCAGAATGTTATATAAATAGAATCATGCACTCCGTAGCCTTGTGAGTCTCCTCCGTTTTGCTATATCTATGGATTGGGATTCGTGTCTGATTCGTCTTTGTTTTTGACTAAATAAGTGCCTAACACCAATTAGAGTTCAGACACCCATATGCATGCATGATGCTTGTAACGAGTCCAATGTCTTTTCAGAAGCCTGACTCTTTATTAATAAACCTCCAGGTGGGATGGAGCCTCTAGAGGTTTGGCGGTGATTCTTCAACTCAGTGTTTGCCTAACTTGCCTGGTCAAAGAATCTCCTGTCTCCTGGGTGTGTAGTAAAAATATGGATTTCCAGAACTCTCTCCTGCACAGTCTGATTTCACAGGTCTGGAAAGAAACCTGGGGAGCTTCTCAAATTATGCTCACGTCAGAATCACCTGAGTCACAGATTGCTAGGTCCCACTCCAGAGTTTCTTTTTCAGTGGGTCTGGAGCGAGGTCTAAGAATTCGCACTTCTAACAAATTTCCAGGTGATGCCAGTGTTGTGCTCTGGGGATCCCACTTTGAGATCCGCTGATCTACGGCTCTGCGCTAGGGTCGTCTCCAACGATCTTTGTACGCATGCGCAGGTGTGAATTCCAGCTTAAGTGCGACTGATGGGGAGGGAGTGTGCTATGTGGGACATTTTTGTACCAAACATTGCACCCTGGCCATGACCTCAATCCCACTTCACCCGGGACAACTTCTTCAGCCCACGTTAACACAGAAGCAGAGATCTCTGAGATTTGTTTGATTCGATCATTCTCCCCGTGGCAGGGGCACCAAGATGAAGACGTCCGGCTCCTGCTGAGAATGCCGAAGGAAGTCGTATGCAAAACCAGTCCCAGTTCTTTCTAGTTCTTCACACAGGCTTGAACAATGATGATGTGGAAACTGTACCTGCGGCTGTGTCTCTGATCTTAAAGAAACCAATGCGATTAAGGCTGGATTTGGACTCCGAAGAAGAGGAGTTCCTGGGGACGCTGAGGGTTAGCGGTAACAGCTGTTATCCTGCCCATTGGAGGAGAAACTGAAGGGGGAAGAAAGGACTTGTTGAAAGGATGTGTCTCTGCAGCTCTGAGAGTGGAAACTGTTGCATCAATCCTGGAGGAAAGTATTCCTCAGTAAGTGATGTTTTTCTGGTTCAGGTAGACAACAAAGTGCCGGTGGGTAAGAAACTTCGAGATCTAAGGAGGGGGGAGAGGATGAAATTTATGGCTTCGGTGGTGATCTGTGGGATGTGGCACTCACCCCGCTTCCTCCATAGGCATCTGTGTTCAATCTGCCTCTGTGAGGAGGAGACCAGCTTCAGCCATCCACAAGGGCCCTCCGGGGGCTGTCTATGTGGCCCCTCTGAAAGGAGACGAGAAGGGCCGTGGGTCTCCTCAGCTGAGAATATGCTTTTACAGCTCCTTGTTCATCATCTTCTAATGTGTCTGGAAATCGGTAGGAACGGCCCCTTGTGGTGTAGGGGTTTTGACTTTTACTGCCTTACGGAGAACAAACCTAGCAGAGAAAGGTATTGTCTGAGGACTCTTAGGACAAGTCCAAGAGATTCCCATTATACAGTAGATCATACTCTGGTCCCCTGTGTCTGGTCAGTGTAAAGGTGGCTATGGTGTGTGCAGATAGGATGGCAGTAGATGACACGGTGATTTGGTTGTATGGTTTACCTCCTTAGTCTACTGTTTTTATAGCTAATTTCACCAAATTTTTGCATTTTATTTTTACCTTTTAAAACCAGCTTATTAGAGAGGAGAGCTGTTGTTGCTTTGCATTGCTCCTTAGATCACAATATTAGCAGAACTTTTAAAATACATGTACATAGGACTATAAAAACAAATAGCTATTTTTTAAAAATGCCTACTAGTCCTGAATTTTTACTCAGAGAGCTTCTCATCTGTCTTATTTGCTATTTCTCACTTTACTTTCATCTGTGAACTTCTTTGACAATCAACTTTTAATTCTTTCTGTGGATGGGCATCGGAGGTGTAAACAAAAATATTTACTCTATAAATGTTGTTTTGCCCAAACATTTTATTCTATTTCTTAGCCAGTTTTTTTGTGGGCTTTTTTTCCCCCCCAGTATATTTAACAATGTATAGAGTGGATGGGCTTGGGTATAACTTTCTCTGTGAGAAAGGAGTGAAATAATTAAAAATCATCAACAGGAGAAAGGACAGGAGCTATGGAAGCATTGCAAATTTAGCAGTCTCCTCTAAATAACTGATAGTTGGCAGAAGATATGTAGCAGTTAACTCTGTAATCTGCAATTAGAGAGATAAACCAAGTCACCATATGTCAGGCTGCCTGCCCATATTGGAATATTGGGTGTCTCATTTCAGCAATAATATATTACAGCTCACGTTGTCCTTGGATATCAGGCAGTTTGTAAGGAGTCCACATTAGGATTCAGACATTTTCTGGTCTTTTTTCTTTGATGTAATTAGTATAGCCTCTCTTTAAAAAGAAACATTCTTACAAAAAAATTACAAGAAGAGAGGTTTAAAAAAAAAGGGTCTAGAAATGAAATACTTCCTACAGTCTGGCACATCTTTTTTTTTTTTTCTTGTGGTTTCATTTTTCACATTTAAACTTTAATTCAATTGAAATTCCTTTTAGTTAAAAGATGTTCTAGCTATATTTATTGATCATTTCCACATTGATTTTTTTTGTTTTTTTTAAATGCCATTTTAAAGAGATATACTTTTTTTTTTAACAGAAGTATAGTTGATTTACAATGTTGTGTTAGTTTCAGGTGTACAGCACAGTGATTCAGTTATACATATACATCTATTTTTATTCAGATTATTTCCGTTATACGTTATTACAAAATATTGAGTACAATTCCCCGTGCTATTACAGTAGGTCCTTGTTGGTTATCTATTTTATGTATAGTAACGCGGCACATCTTTTTGATCTTGACCTTGAGTGCTTACAATCTGGGGAGGTGACACCAAAGGTATTTCAGGTTTACAGGCAGTGTGGGATTCAGGTCAGGCACATTCAGAAGGATATCGTATTGTTTTCCTAAATAGCATCTGCATTGAAGCTGCCGTTTCTCGGGGCACAGGAGAGGGCAGGATGAGGGTCCCCGCTGCCCTCACAGGCTGGCCTTGTGCCGCTCTCTGCCCGGCATCCAGCTCCTCTACCTTCTCCCATGGGACCGGCTCCATGGCCTGTGTGGACATGCAGCCCAAGCACATTCCAGCCCAGCCTCAGCACCCCAGGACCCCCCACATCACCATTCTCACTGGCAGCTCTTCCGACTCACCGGGTGACACAGCTTCGGGTATGTATGGGAGAGGCTTTGAGAGACCCCCAGGAGCCCCTGGGCCCTAGTGACAAATTCCAAGTTGTGTTTGTCCCAGGTAGGAGTTTCCTGGGCTAAAGTTTGGCTTAATCCTAAGAAGAAATTATGTAGCCAAAAATAAGCATGAAATATTTGTGGGTTTAAAAAAAATTTTTTTTAATCGAAGCATAGTGGATTTACAATGCTGTATTAATATCTGCTGTGTAGTAAAGTGCCTCAGTTATTCACATATATACATTATTTTTTATATTCTTTTCCACTATGGTTTATCACAGGATATTGACTATAGTTCCCTGTGCTCTACAGTAGGACCTTGTTGTTTATCCATTCTATATGTAATAGTTTGCGTCTGCTAACCCCAAACTCCCAATCCATCCCTCCCCACACCCCCTCCTCCGTGGCCACCACAAATCTGTTCTCTATGTCTGTAAGTTTGTTTCTCTTTCGTAGATAGGTTCATTTGTGCCCTATTTTAGATTCTACATGTAAGTGATATCATATGGTGTTTGTCTTTCTCTTTCTGACTTATTTCACTTAGTATGATGATCCCTAGTTGCAGCTATGAAGCATGAAATATTTGTATCATGAAAACCATATAACTAATCTCTATATTGATATTAATCTTTATAAGAGAAGAGGGCACAAATGGCCTCATAATAAAAACTTATTTTGTCTTTATTATAAGGTATAAATATAGTTACCCTGAACAAACATCACATATCAAGGATGTGTGAGAAATAGACTTTTTTCCTCCTTATTTACAACTAAAATTATTTGAGGAGTGAAAAGAGCATCTCCTGCTATTTTAGTTCAGGTGCCTACAAATTCAGAGCGAGAACTTGAGTGCAGGTGGTTTATTTGGGGAGTGATCCAGGAAGCATAGATGAGAGAGAGGGGAAAGGGTGACAGGGAATAACGAAACACTAATGAGGTGTCAAATAGAGTGGGTTACTGCCGTGGGCAACGCACTGGGGCCCAATTCCAGTGGGGACCCTCTGAGAAACCACGGGAAACACACCTGTGAATCATCCCTTGGGAGGATGGAGGAGAGGTATTTATTGGTTGAGGGTAGCCCCCCAGGGGTGTTTCCACCATCCATCCCACCTCCCAACACGCATACACACACTTCAGAGTCACACCTGCCCACCTTGGACCAAGCTCCCAAGATGCCAGCTGGAAAAAGCAGGAAAGACAGCTACTCATGCAGAGTGAAGGAAGTCAGAAAGAGAAAAACAAGTATCATATATTAACGCATATATGTGGAATCTAGAAAAATGGTGCAGATGAACCAATTTGCAGGGCAGGAATAGAGAGGCGAACGTAGAGAACGGGCAGGTGGACACAGTGGGGGAAGTGGAGGGTGGGATGAATTGGGAGATTGGGATTGAAGTATATACACCACCATGTGTAAAACAGATAGCTAGTGGGAACCGGTGGTATATAGTGCAGGGAGCGCAGCTCAGTGCTCTGTGATGACCTAGAGGGGTGGGATGGCAGGGGATGGGAGGGAGGTCCAAGAGGGAGCGGGTATATGTATACATAGAGCTGATTCACTTCGTCCTACAGCAGAAAGTAACACAACATTGTAAAGCAATTATACTCCAATAAGAAAAAAGATAGAAAAGAAAAGAAAGAAAGCCACTGAGGTGATTCAGTTATACATAGACATATACACCCCTGGGGGGGCTACCCGCAACCAATAAATACCTCTCCTCCATCCTGAAACTAACACAACATTATTAATCAACTATACTCCAATATAAAATATAAAGTTAAAAAAGAAAGCTACTGATGTTGAAGATAGCAGCTAAACGTTGACTGGAAAGTATCTATTTAATAGCTACAGTGAACTCAAACACATCAACACTGTTGGCTTCATTCCTTTTTGATGTATGCTAACTCTTTTGATGGGAATTAGAGGCGATAAATGGAAATGAAATTTACCCTCTGTCTATGGTTCTATCCAATCATTTTGTTCTACTGATTAGTGTGAGGAATAAAAAAAATGGAAAATATTGTCGGGTTACCCCCTCAAAGAGTTGCATAGTTTAAGTTCCAGTACTACTGAATGAGTGCCCTAGTTTTTCTGTTGGCCTATCAATACTGGTTATAATTACACATTTTGAAATTTGTTAACATGATAGATATAAAATAGTGTCTCATTTATAATTGTTTATTTTCTGTTTGTATCTGTTGATAATTTTCAGTTTGGCTATCTTTTTGTTAATTCACCATAACTCTTTGTATATTTGTCTGTTGTATCTTACAAACACCTTTCTCATTTTATCGTTTGTTATTTCTTCTATATTGAGAATTTTAAGAAATCATCTTTTCCTTTATGGCTACTGAACTTGCTTAGAGAGGCATTCCTAACTCCAATATTAAAACAAAAGCAAAAAAAACCCAAAACAAAAACAATAAAAAAAAAAAGCCAAACTATTGTTTCTAGTTCTTTTGTATTTCATTTTTACATAACTTTTATATTCCATCTTTACAAATGGAATTTATTTTGGGTGTGAAATAGCACTTCAACCTTTTTTTTTTCCCTAATGAATTGCGTACTTTTGGGGAACTGGGCTGGTCCTAAGATTTTCATTTTGAAAATACGCATGTAAAGTCACCAAGTGGAACTCCCTCGAGTGTGTTGACCTTGAATGGATGTTTTCTGTGGAAGTGGCTGTGAGGGGCAGTCGTGATTTCATGGGCTTTCTACTTCAGGCCCAAAAGGAGTCTGATCATCAGATAGCTGGCACTTTTGTTTTCATTCCTCCTCATTCCAAACCGATGACTTGTTTTGAAGAGGCTGACACAGTCACCCACGTGGACAAGTCCGGAAGAGAAATCTGTCGTTTGAGTGGCGGGCCCCCGCCCACCCCGTAAGGGACGTCAGGTTCCTATAAGAGAGTCAAGTTCTGGTTCTTGGTAACTGAGCTCCACTTTGAAGACAGGGAGCTTCTCCTCCCTTTCTTCTCGTTTCCTACCTCCCACCCTCCACCTTATAACAAGGACAGGGTCACTGGGGCTGCCCCAACTAGAGTGTCTCTATGGGGGGGACTAAAAAAAAATTGTCCCAACTCCCCTCTGTGCTGTTATCCATGGTCCAGGAATGTGTGATGTCCCTCCTCCCCGCGCACAGATGAACCTTGGCCAATCTCTCCAGGAAATTCTCACTAGGGGACAAAAGAGCTGTTGGTGGGAGAGTCGGGAGAGAGCCCAGAAAGAGAGAGACAGAAGCAGGCAGACAGTGGACACTTCCTGGGCCTGGGCAGAGCCACTGAGGGCTCTGTGCTTCAGCTTATTGTCCCCCAGATGGGTGTGATCATGACAGCACCCACCTTGTAGTGTTGCATAAGGACGAAGGAGCCAGTATATGCCAACTGCGTGGACCAGTTCCCGGCAACTGTAAGCATGATACAAGCATCATCGTTCCTCAAAATGAGACCGTGGCTTTGTCCTTCTTTTCACTCACATGTACCAAGAAAGCGAACTTCTTTTTTTTTTTTTTTTTGTTTTTAGGAAAGGGTATGTATTCCTCTGTTTCTTTCCCCTACACCCTCATATACAGAAGAGGGAGGTTGTGCCCAAGTGTGGAGACATCCAGACCCCATGGTTGTCCCCTCTGCACTGGGGAACATGAGAGATGAGGTGTACATCCCCTGTCCCTCAGGGTCCTCTTTCCTTCCATCCATTCCTGGTGGCCTAAAACAGCAGGAAGGACAAACAAGGAGGACGACACTGTGCCCTGACGACTTTGCCCATCTGGAAAGGCCAGGACCCACTCGACTGTTGGTGTAACTGGCTCCTGCCAGGACTTTGGTTCCAATGCAAGGGGTGTGTGGTGCCTGAAGACCTTCAATCTGTACAGTTACTTTTATTTCTCAAAGCCCCTCCGTTTGTATTTTTAGATTTACTGTCATAGCTACTCTGTGCTACAGAAGAAGTAGTTCAGAAACTGTTATCTCCCTTTGGCAGAAAAAGGAGCTGAGTCACTGGTCAGAAGCATCTCTCAAGTCCTCCTACATTCTCTCACCTCCCAGGATCCTTTCCCACCATAACCTTGACATGACAACAAACCATGACTTTTACTTGCCCCTTAACTCTCTGGGTGATCTCAGCTAAATTCATCACATTTTTATAACTGCCTTCTGAATACTTACAGTGAGAAAAATGGTACTTGCCAATAATCCCCACTTCGGTGAAATTTGGGGGAGGATGAATGAGATCATGTTGGTGCCAATGATTTTTACTGAAGAAAGGCATTATGTATTCAAAATATTATTTAGAATATGAATGATTTACCTCTCATTTTCAATAGTATTTACAATTCCAATAGGATTATACGATTTTACAACAGATTTATAAAATTTTCAATGAAGTGTGTAATTCAATTCATGACATACCAGTGCTGGCGAATGATCACAGTTGAAGATGAAACCTTTTCAGTCCACGGTTCTAGAAGACACCTTTTAGTCAAAAGGAGATTCTTAATGATTGCATTTATTCGGGAGGGTAATTGATTTGTACCTATTGTCTCCTATAGTCACCCGAGGGAGTAACACAATCATCTCTCTCTAAGTTCTATCCATGTAGACTTGGGCTCTTCTTTATCCTTTTGTTTGTTCTCTCCTTTCTATCAGGATGGCCCGAGGTATGATTTAAGGGAAACTAAATCCTCGAATCACTTTGCTCTCTTTCTCCACAGTTTATCAGTGATCCAGTCATATTTCGTTTACTGGGTGAGGATTGAATCATCTGTTGTGTCTCAACAGACACACAGTAGATCTAGTTCTGAAAGCCATGTGGAGCCTGGCTCACCTATGCCAGCCCCTGGGCAGAGGCCGGAGGGCATGGAAGGAACCGCCCCAGGCACAGCTTGCCACTGCATTCACCAGCCTGGTTGGCAGCATTACTTTCACAGTTACTAATTTTCACTTAAGAGTGACTCCAGCCAGTTTCCGCTTCCTGGGACCCAACCAATAGACACCTGCCTTGGGAGTGTCAACAGTTCCTGGGGATGTGATCCCACAGCCATGGGTGTGGGTCGGGGAGACTCTTGCAAGTTCAGGGTTCGCTGCAGCAAACACACTCTGTCCGGCTCAACCTCACAGGTGAAGTTGGGCCACGAAGCATTGGAACTGAGCTGCAAAACCAAAAAATTAGCCATACACCTTCCCCCACTCCCACACTTAACAAATCACCACGATATTTCAGCTGTTTTCCCAAGACCCCTGAGGCTGCACAGGCAGCACCAGAAAGAAATAACCCTTTTTTCTTTTTTTATGTAAGTTCATCCAGTTTTGATTGTTACTTTCCGAGGTAGGTAGATGGCTCTTTGCAGCCTGGGTTGTAAAACAGAATGAGGAACGAGAGGCTGTTTCGATGGCAATGGATGTTTTCCCTGGCTCACCAAGTGACTTTAGATTCCATTGGCCCATGAACTTCTGAGAAAACAAACAAACAAAAACAGATAATGAAAAAAACCCTAACCAGCTAGAGAATGTCTGATCCACCTGAAAATTCCTGGTGAAATGGAACTTATTTTCGTTATTTATATCTAGTTAAGTGCTCTGAACAGATGCCCTCCATCCAATCACCTGCACAGAAGATCCAACCTTTGATCCATTCAGTTCCACTTTCCTTTCCGGGCTAACATGGTGCAGCCGGGATCCGATATGAATCCGTGACTTTGCTAGTCTAGCAGACTCAGGCTCAGAGCCAACCCTGGGCCACCCTCCATCCCTGCCTGTGACCAAAACCTTTGTTTTCTCCACATTGCCCAGCACTGCTCCTCCAACCATTTCACCAAGATGCTCCTAAAAGCAGAGAAAAGGTCTCAGGGTCTGAGAGGGTGGCCTTAAGAAGACCTTGCAAATCCAACATGGGTTTGAAGTCTCCTGTTTCATGTTATAAATCATGTGAATGTTGCATTCTGATCCCAGGCATGTTTGTTTTAAGATGAATATGAATATTAGTGAGGCTTCAGGAAGATGGGTCCTGTTGATACTGTAAAGTCTCTCAGATGGTTGACCCTGCTGGCACCTTGTCCCCTGGGGGGTGGCGGACTCCAATCTGAGCAGCTACAGGGTGGACCCCTCATCATGCTACTCACATTCCTCCCCTTGGCCCCTGCCTGTTTTCTTACCCATTCCTCTACACAAACCCCAGCGCTTCCCAAGGGAAAAACGAATGTGTGTGTGTGTGTGTGTGTCTGTGTGTGTGTGTGTGTGTGTACATGTGCACACATTGGGGGAGGTGTCATCTAACAAAGTTAAATGGATTTTTTAACTGTAAGAAGACTTCAGTTGGCAAATGTGAGTGACAAATTGTCCCACTGGGAAGATAGTATATTGTATCTCTCAAACTTATTTTCCAGCAGAGCCTTGGAACACTTTGGGGTTCTACCCAACCGCACTAGGCATGACCTACTTTTATATCTCCATGTTTTGCCTTCTGACATTTCCTTAAATGGAACTGTTCCTCATGATGAACTATTTACCTTTCCAGGAGCGATTCAAATATCTCCTTTGTGAGCCTTTTCCCCTTACTTCTTGGTAGGCAAATGTAATTGCTTTATTTTTTTGTATTTTTTTTTTTTTGCGGTACGCGGACCTCTCACTGTTGTGGCCTCTCCCGTTGCGGAACACAGGCTCCGGACACGCAGGCTCAGCGGCCGTGGCTCGCGGGCCCAGCCGCTCCGCGGCATGTGGGATCCTCCCGGACCGGGGCACGAACCCGTGTCCCCTGCATCGGCAGGCAGACTCTCAACCACTGCGCCACCAGGGAAGCCCTGTAATTGCTTTCTTTAGCTCTGGTATTGAAGCTCTCATCACACTGCGATTTATAAGGTTAGGCATCTAGGAGTCTGTCCCCGATTTTCAATTCAGAAACAACAGTTAGCAATCGGCATCACTTCTGCATCCCCAGCACCTGGAATGATGCCCAGCATGCAGTGGGTCTGCAGAAAGTGTCTGAAAGCATTTAGAGTTCAGACAGGAGTTAAAACTGTCAGAATTTTTGCTAAATTCTGCATGTCTGTGTAAGCCTTCTTTATTTTTCACTTCAATCTTGGTATTTTTGAGTAATGAAGACATTAGAACAAAGTGTCACAAAAAAAAAAAAAAAGAGAGAGAGAGAGAGAGAAAGAAAGAATTCAATCCAACCCAGCTGCAGCCCTGGCCAGAGAAACTTCTGTCAGCACCTTTTTGTGAACAACATCGTGGTCGCCCTACTCATCATTGTGGTAAACATGTAGTGCACGTCGCATCTGTACCAGGCACTGTGCTGCATGCGTTTACATCAATGATTTCACTTTACCCCTGCTACAGTCCTAGGCTGTAGGTACCATTACTGGTCTCATTTTGCAAAAGAAGAAACTGACATTCTGGAGGACTCACCCCAAATCAGGAATTAGCAGAGTGAAGATGCCAAAACCTGTGCTTGTTTGTTTGCTGCCCTCTGTGAAGCTATTTCTAATGCTCTGGGCCATCATGTCAGCTCATCACAGATGGGAAAGGAGACAGTGGAGGGCAGTGATCCCACCTCTGCCCATAGCAGAGGCTCGAGCCCTTACCATCCCTGGGGAAACATTTTGCATTAATATACTATGGCAAGAATGATCTAGGGCTTTAAAAAACCTGTGATTTGTGGGATTCCATTTTATTTTCTAGCTAGAAGCAGGCTTTGGCAGAAGTGAGAAAACATAGAGTGGTCACAGCGGTTTCTATATTCTCTGATTGGTGACTGTTAAGAAGGCACAAGCCCAGAAGCCTAGGAGCTTACTCTTTAAAAAGACATGAGAATTCAGGTGCTTTGCTGCTTGGTCAGGAGTTTCTATTACTGAGCAAATTATCTTTATGGTGATGCTTTTGAGTGGTTCACACTTAGTAGTCTGTCCTCAGGCACGTTAAAGTCTCTGGCATTCAGCGCATTGTCCTGGCTGTGTGTGCTAATCGATAAAAGGAACGATTTCTCCTTCTCACCCTGTAGTGTCTCTGAGCCTCCGCTTGGCCCCCAGGGTCCCCGTCATTCTCCCTCAGCAACGCACAGATATCTCTGCTGTGGCCGTCCCTGGAGCTGCAGGAGAGGACAGCTTAGATCTTGTTCCTGCCAATGTTCGGGTGACAGAATTTCCTGGGGCTGCAGAGACTCCGTTCCCAGCATCTTCACGCAGAGCTGCCATAGTCAGCGAAGGCCACCAGCCCAATGGGGACAGCAACCGAACCCTGGAAGCATCCCCGGACGTTCGTGGGCTGGAGAGGTTCATGGCCATCAGGGGATTCTCCTCAGAGAGCTTTGCTTCCAGCCCTAGCACCCACCACAGGTAATGGGCCAGGGGTGGGCCATTCGGGACAGGTGGTGGGATGAGGCCAAACACAAGGGTGCTAAGGAAATGGAACCTTCTTGGAGTCAGACAGAAAAAGATCTCAACCGTATTTATTCTTAAGTACGTGAGAAACACTGATTGTAGAAAAGCCACTGGTCAGAAGAGCTGGATATATAAATTACCTGGGGAAACTGTACTGTCTTGGACAGAGAGAGGTCTCTGAGATGCTGCTATAAATAAAATAAAATATAAATATAGGTTTTATATTTTAGATACATACATTTATAATATGTAAATATATATAAATATAAATTATACAAATCAATAAAAGCATTCACTGAGTCTTTGCTGCCATCTTCACACATCATCCGCCCCCATTCTCTCTCCAACTCCAAACTCCAGTGTTTCCAACAAATGTAATTTTATCAGTATACACAGCAGTGACAGGAAATGTTGCTTTTATTTATTTATTTATTTTTGCTGCGTTGGGTCTTCGTTGCTACGTGCAGGCTTTCTCTAGTTGTGGTGAGCGGGGCTCTTTGTTACGGTGCACAGGCTTCTCATTGCAGTGGCTTCTCTTGTTGTGGAGCATGAGCTTTATAGGCACGCGAGCTTCACTAGTTGTGGCTTGGGGGCTCTAGAGCGCAGGCTCAGTAGTTGTGACGCACGGGCTTAGTTGCTCCGCGGCATGTGGGATCTTCTCAAACCAGGGATCGAACCCATGTTCCCTGCATTGGCAGGCAGATCCTTAACCACTGCGCCACCAGGGAAGCCCCAGGAAACGTTGCTTTTTGATTATCATACTAAGTGAAATAAAGTCAGAGAAAGACAAATACCATATGATATCACTTATATGTGGACTCTAAAGAAAATAATGCAAATGAACTTATTTACAAAACAGAAACAATCTCACAGACTTAGAGAACGAACTTATGGTCACCAGTGAGGAAGGGCAGATTGAGAATTTGGGATTGACATGTACACGCTGCTCTATTTAAAATAGATAGCCAGAAAGGTTTTAGCACAGGGAACTTTGCTCAGTACTCTGTAATAACCTAAATGGGAAAAGAATTTGAAAAAGAATAGATACACATATATGTAAACTGAATCACTTTGCTGTGCACCTGGAATTAACACAGCATTGTTAATCAACTCTACTCCAAAATAAAATAAAAATAAATTAATTTCTGAAGGAAAAATCAAACAAACAAACAAAAAAACCTGGCAGCAAAGTATGTAGGTAGGAATAAAGATAAAATAAAATTGGTCATGATTAATAATTTTTGAAGCTGGGTGGTAAATATTTGGGGGTTCATTATATTATTCTACTTGTTTATTTTGAAAATTTTTATAATGAAAGGTAAGAAAAAACCCCCGATACTTAGGGACTCCTTCTAAGCCTTTTTTCCCTTCCCTTTAGGACTCAGAATGATCCAAGCTTTGATTCATTGGAAACTTGCCTACCCTCAGATAGGGATGAACAGGTAACAGCCAAGTTGTGCATGGGCAGTGAGTTTGGTATTTTTGACGCCAGAGTGGGAAGTTCCAGGCTGGGAAATCAGAGCTATTAGACTAGTAGCCAAAATCAGAGAGAAGAAGGCAAGGGTATGATATATACACAGCATCTTTTTCCAATCAATACCAGCCATTTCATTATACACAGCATCTCTGAAGTTATCGGCAATTGTAGAAATTGATGGTTTTAGTGAGTTGTTTTCCCACTTAGCTTCGGTTAATAAGCCCCGTCTCCTCCTCCCCCAACCCTGTCCTTCATAACATTGGCCTCAAAATACCATGTATGGTCCCAGAGGTGAGATCAATGGGCGATATAAAATATACATGCCCAATGATATACTATTCCTCTGAACTCTTAAAAGGAACACAAAATAAAACATGGTATACTATCCTTACTCAAATCGATTGGAACCTACAGCAAGATTCAATGGTCCCTCTTGCATAAAAAGACACACTCAAAGCTTTCAGCCATTGGAGATGACTGTCACCCACATTGGTCTAGAAGCCTCTTAAACGACCCTAAGTTTATTCTTGACTTACAAGAATGATCTCTCAGTGGAGCTTCCGTTAGCTTCCCCATCACCAGCAATAACAAGTGCATGTTTATCCGCATGGACGTTTTCCTCTGAGCTCTTTTGTTTTTTTAATTAATTTATTTAAATTTATTTATTTATCTTTGGCTGTGTTGGGTCTTCGGAGCTGCGCGCGGGCTTTCTCTAGTCGCGGTGAGCAGGGGCTACCCTTCCTTGCGGTGAACGGGCTTCTCATTGTGGTGGCTTCTCTTGTTGCAGAGCACAGGCTCTAGGCACTCGGGCTCAGTAGTTGTGGCTCGCGGGCTCTAGAGCGCAAGCTCAGTAGTTGTGGTGCACGGGCTAAGCTGCTCCGCAGCATGTGGGATCTTCCCGGACCAGGGCTTGAACCCGTGTCCCCTGCGTTGGCGGTCTGATTCTTAACCACTGCGCCACCAGGGAAGTCCCCTCTGAGCTCTTTTAAGAGCAGGCATGAGGCTGGGTTTTCAGCTGCGATCTGGGATTCTCTAAGGAACTCAGGTTAGTTGCCAAGTTCAGTGGCTGCTTGGGAGGAAGACCAGCCCCTTTGATCTCTCTTTTTTCCTTTGCTTTTCTAGGACAAGATGAAGGCCTCAAATAGGACGGTGATGAGGCCTCCTCTGTACACTGTCCATCTTTCCTATACTCGCCTTTGGTCCTCTGGGGCACTCACTGGACATGGGGCCAGGGCGGCCAATCCAACCCCTGTCCTCCACACCTCTGCCACCTCCAGGCCACCCACTGCCAGTGGTCAGTCAGAGGCATCAAGACCCTCTGCCAGCTTCCTGCCTCAGTCAAAGCACAAGGAGCCCAAATTGAGGGAGGGCAATGGAGAGAGTGGCGTGCGACACCCCAGGAAGACCAACCCAAGGCCTGAGCTTGGGCAAGACGAAGCCAGGGCTCCCTTGGGGATCCAGCTCGGGACTCTGCAGCTGGGAATCCTGCTTTGCCTTTCAGCTGCTTTGGGCATGGCCGTGGCTGCTGGCCTTCACTACCGGCATACCCAGTCTTGCCACAAGCAGACAGAAGTATCCTTCAGTGAGCCTGCTGGGCACGCAGCTGCCAGGAGTGACGGAGACAAGATCATGCATGTCAGGAGGATTGGGGAGAACAGTTTTGTTTTGGTTGAAGCAATACAACTGGATCACTCCCTCTGTGGGTAGCAAGAAAACAGTCCTCTGAGAAGGCTTCTCAGTGCCCCCCTTAAATCCTGCAGAGTGTCTCAGCCAGAACAGAGCTACTGAGACTAGCTAATGAGGACAGGGTTTCACTGTGCCTCCCATCAGGGAACAGTTAATGGAGGGAGCAGCAAAAGGACAGTTTTATCGACAGACGGAATTATTTTCTGGCTTTGTTGTCTTAACATCTGTAATTTAGCAGGTTTTTTTTTCTTTCTTATTTTTTTTTTAGCAGCTTTGTTTTCTTTTTGCAATTAGACGTTCTGTTTGAAGAGTTAAACTCAACATAATGAATATTGTATAATCTGCTCATTAACTAGACTCCCGTGGCCACTGAGCTTCCTCCGTTGCCTTAAGGAACCTGCAGAAATAGAACTTCTGTCCCTCCTCAGCATGTCAGCCTCATCGACTCTCTTTGAAAAAAAAGTAACGTTGAGGTTGAGTCTCTTGCAAGAAAAAGGACTGCAGCCCTCCCTTTGCCTCTTCAAACCACCCCCAAAGAAGTCCTGTTTTCCAAACTGGAGTTCAAAGGTGGCTCTGATGTCATTGCCTGGGTGAGCACAAGGGTATTCAGCCTTCTTGGACACTCAGAAACCCGGCAAATCTGCCATGGAAATTGATCCAAAGCAAGGAAGAGTTTAGAGAGTTTGATTACCCACATCTGTGGGAAAACATACATGCAGCAGGAGGCCATAAACACCAGAGAGGGGTAAGCAAGCCTCTTCATCAGGGGTAAATGGATCTGAGATCACCCATCCATTTACACTTGATGAGAGACTTATGTATCCCAGAGACTAGCAGACATCTTGCCTTTTGCAAAAGGTCAGGCTGAAAAAAATGATGATACCAGCACAGTTTTAAGAAGAGCCTTTACCCGTCTAAGAAAGCAAGAAGGACGAAGACTGTCTACCCGCCCTCATGACTTTATGAAGATCACTTTGATTTAGCAAGAGTCCCATAGGTACTACATGCGGTCAAAACAACGTGTTTGAATATAACTCTCGAATATGCTCACCTAATATAACACAATGGAATTAGCTGCCTTTTCAAAGGTAAACCTATTACAGAGTCACGATCTATTTAAATGTGGAAACGAAAACCACTATAAATTTGGAAAGGGTATTTCTTGATTGAGCACCTAAATCGTGCAGGTACTGTGCTAAGAACTGTACATTTATTTTCACATTTAATTCTCACAATAACTTCATGAGGAGTAAGTTCAGTAAATCGCTTAAAGAGAAGGAGGCATTCATGACATCTCGATTCAACAAAAACATTTTTAAAAAATTGGGTGTGTAGGAAAGAGCTGCTTCTCTTTTTCCAGCCCCTGTTAGCTCACTGGGCATCAATTCCAACACTCTCTCCTCCTGGATTCTGGGGTTGACAGATCTGTCCCCCTGACTTCAGTCAAGCACCCCATTGGGCACGTGGAGACCTAGGTAATTGTATGTTCACAAATGAAGGTGTTCTAGGAATGCTGTGGAAAGAGACACATGTACTGTACTCCAGTTGGGGCCACAGATATCCCTCCTACATACCCCACCCTCCCAAGGGATGCCCCCCACCAAGATGCAGAAGACAAGCCATCTCACTAGTGGAGAGCTCCCATCTGGCCAGGTCACATCAGAGCTGGGTGCACCACACATACACTAGCTTCCAAATCTTTCCTGTCCAGGAGGATATTATCCTGTGTAAACAGACTGCTTTGATTATCTATTGCTGTGAAACAAACTACCCCTTAACCCAGTGCTTTAAAACAACGCCTACCACTGATGGTCTCACGTGACACTGGGGTTGCCTGGGCTCAGCTGGGCAGCTCTTCTGCTCTGCCTGTTGTCAAATGGGCTGGGACATCCCAGGTGACTCACTCACGGGGCTGGCAGTTCATGCTGGCTGCCGGCTGGGTACTCACTGGGGCCGTGGATGAGTGTGAGAAACAATTTGCCTCTCCTCTTTGTGGCTTCTTACTGCATAGTGGCTGGGTTCCCAGAAGGAGTGTCCCAGGCAGAGAAAAACAGAAGCTGGGCATCTTGTAAGGCTTAGCCTGGGAAGTAACATGGTTTTACTCCCGCCACGTTCTGGTGGTCATAGCATGTTACAGCCCTCATTCTTCCAAGGGAAGGGCAACAGATTTCAGTTTTCAAAGGAAGAAGTGGCAAAGGAGTTGAAGCTATGCTTAATTCACTGCATCGCTGGTTAGACTGCTGACCTGCCACGGGGCTTGTGTGAGAAGAGACAGGCTGCTCAGCTTCAGGAGGTGCCATGGGTCACCCTCCCTGCAAAGCATCAAAGGGGCCGAGGGAACTCTCCAGGCGTTGGGGGGGGGGGGTTGTTTGTTTTTTTGTTTGTGTTTTGGCCACACCGCGAGGCTTGCGGGATCTTAGTTCCCCCGACCAGGGATCGAACCCATGCCCACTGGATGGCCAGGGAATTGCCCAGGCTTTAGGGTTTAGGCACCTCCTCTTCCCCAGCTGGGAACTCCAGGTCAGGCACGATAGTGACAGGGTGCAGAAGAGTCAGCCAGACTTATGAGCCTCAGCTTCCTCATCAGAGATCAATGGATCACAAAATGATTTATCTCTTTTGGCTGTTGTGAAGATGAAAAGCATGTTGAACACTTAGCTACGTCTAACCGACATGCCATTGTTATTAACATCATCCTGCAGCTGCGACACTATCTTTAAATCTAGTCCATTTAGAGAAATCCTATGGCCACCAAAAATGTGATTCCCTGTCCGTGACAATTTCTCCCCCTGTGGCCCTACTGCCCCAGCCCAGCCAGTGGAGGCATCACCGCGTTGGTTGTCATGGCAGCCATTGGCTACAGTTCCTGCTGGGGTCAGACATTTTTGCTGAGACATTCTGAGTAAAATCCGTTTTGGGAAGGGCGGCTGGAATCCCCAAGCCTGAATTCAGGACACATAAAACCCCTCAGTCACTGTGATCTTGAAGGTCCTCTAAGCCTGGCTTCAGAGAAGCCCCAGAGGGGAGTGAGTAGGCTGTGTTCATTTAACCTGAAGGCACTTACTAAAGCACAAAGCCCTTAAAAGTTATAAAAAGGCAAAGGACTCAAATGCAGCATCTTAAAATAACTTTTTTGTTTTGTGGGAACAGCTAGAGAATTGCTCAGCCAACCACTTCTTGGAGAAGGAAGTTTGGGGCTAAAGACACACCTCAGGGAAGATAACAGAAAAACAATTGCTAAAATCTCTATTTTAAACAAATGGTTTTACATCTATTGTGCTAATTTCATAATCACAGATCGGGGCTAGGGGTGGGCTTTAACCTTTTTACATTCAGAGGCTATTTTTGATATTTCTAATTAATTTCTCCCCTTGGATACAATAATTTTGGTAAATCACGACTTAACGCTTAACTATAGCCCGGCTGAGCTATCTCACTGGCAAGGCTGTCTGCATTAATTTACTGTTACAATGTTTGTTTTCTTTTTTAAAAAAAATCTAATTAACAACAACAAAAAAGGATCAACAAGCCAGTAAATATTTAAACAAGTGTCACGTGTTATTTGAAATGTTGTCTGGGAAGAGCCGGCATTTTATGAATAAATTACAGATAGCATATACCCTCTCCCGGTCCTGGACTTCCGGTATTACAAAGTGATCCCAGCCTTTCTGGAATGCAGGCTCTGTGATTTGATTTCATGTCACCCCGACGTATTCCCCTCTTCTAAAAAACGGTGTGTGGCAAGGAATTTCTTCTATTCGAGTGAAATGAATTTGCATTAATTTGTTTTATTAAACTTGAGAATTTCTCTGTTTTCTTAAGCTATTCAGAACTCGGCTCCATCTGGCCTTTAGGGGTTTGCAAAAGCAGCCATAATCATCTCTGGCTTAGAATGTCAGGAGGGCCTTTGTGACGAAAGGCTGGTTGATGTTTTGTGGGTTTGCTCTGTTCTTTAAATGCGAAAAGAAAAGTGAACATTTTGAGACTCTGCTCCTTTGAGCAGGTGGGTGGAGTGACTGATACAACTGAAGTCTGGCAAATGATTTTTGGTTTTTGTATTTTGCTTCTAAAACATAAATCGTTCATGCTACACTGTCTCCACATTCTCTAATGGCTTTCCATTTGTGCAGAATAAAATGTCAATATCCGGACTGGGCTGACCAGGTACTGTGAGACCCCGTCCTCCAACCACCTTCTTGCACATTCCCTGAGTTTCCAAGAATGGTTCAGGGATGCTGCACAGCTCCATCCAGCTCTCTTGGTCTGGCTGCCCTTCTTGTCTGGAAACTGGTTCCCCCCAGAATTCCACAGTCTTCAGAACTTTGCTCCCATATTGCCTCACCTGAGCAGCATCTCCTGTCCACTGCCCCCCACCGCTCTCTATGCCCTTGGTTGCTTTACAATATTGACAGCGCTTCTTACCTCCTGAGTCTACGCATTCATTTGTGTGTTTATTTTCTGACTCTCCTTGACTAGGGTGTTTTGTAAAGGCAGAGACATTGTTTATTCATTGCTAATTGTTCCCAGTACATAGTAAGTTATCAATAAATAACAAGTGAGTGAAAAGTTCAGTGTTTGTATTACTGTCACCACTGCCTGGTCTAGATTGAATTTGAATATGTAGCACCTTGGGCCGCTGCAGGTGCCTGGGTGTCAAGCAGTATGAGTTTCTCTCCAAAGGTGAGCTAAAGAGTGCTGTGTGCCACTGTCCCCAGGAGGGGAATATTCTGTGTCTCAGATCCAAGGCTTGGAGAGTTCTTGTTGGGGGGAGGAGCTGAGAATGGACTTGTCCTTTCAATCTTGGCTGGGCAGAAGATCAACTGAAAGGAGTCTTCCCACTTCACCTGTGAGCATCCTCTCCTCAGTTCATGTGGTCTGGCACGGGGTTTCTCATCCTCCATGCTATCAACATTTGGGGTTGGATCATTCTGTGGAGGACTGTCCTGTGCATTGTAGAAGGTTTAGCAGCATCCCTGGCCTCTACCCTTTAGATGCCAGTGGTACCCCTAGGCGTGACAACCAAAAGCATTCCCAGACATTGCCAGATGTCCCCTGGGGGGCAGAATCACCCCCAGTTGGGAACCACTGGCCTAGCAACTAAGAGATGAAATGATAGGCCCTTAGATGAAGCCGCATCTCCTAAACCATTCTCATATTCAGTG